GTGTATTTAATAGTCACCCATTAGTCATTGAGGAGTGGTTGTCTTAGTTTTGGTATATTTTGATAGTAGAGGAAGCAAGCCCTGAGTCTTCACTTCATTGCTGTCTGCTGCACTCCCCTATATATTTCTTCTTTCTCCCACCCACCTCTGGACTATTGAATTTAATCTACAGAGGAATAGAATATCATTTTAGCCAATTTGCATAATTTGAAGTGTTCTGGAATTGAAATATCTCTGAAAGTGTGATTGCTGTCTGGGTTATTTATAACATCCCAAGGGAATTTCAGAAATCTAAAACTGGGAATGGAGACTTCCCTGTGAATGATAGCCTTAGGAACTGTGTAGTGCACAGCCCTCATGACCATTCGCTGCAGCCCTACCTAAACTCACTGCAGTGTGAGAAGATGTGATTGGATATGTACCTGGTGAGCTCTTCTAGCTAAGTTCTAGTTTGCTCTTGAAGGTAAACAAGTAGTCACTTAGGGATATGACTTAATTACTCAGTTATGTCATTGATTCATTTACTGAATCTCCACAGTGTACCAAGAAGTAGATAGTGAGCCATTGTGGTATCTGGGAAAAGAACATTCCAGATGGAGGGGATGAAAAATCAGAAGACTGAAGTGGAGTCTTTGTTTCTCCAATGTGTTAAACCAATAGCAACAGGCCAATGTAGGCTGAATATGTGACAAAAAGGGAGAGTATAGGAGACAAAGGAGATGAGATTAGAGAATAGAGAGAGGGTGTTGGGGGTGGGAAGAGAGGGAGTGGTGGTCACTTCATCCTTTCAATCTGTGTAGTCATTTGTAAGGAATTTGGCTTTTCCTGGATCAGCTGTCAAATGACAATCTGACTTTCATTTTTTGAACTTTTTTTTTTTTAGTTGATGTGATGTTGATTTTTGCATTTTGGAAATATAAATAAGATCCCTCCCTCTTTGGTGATGTTGCCATAATACTCCCATCACCAAAGCACCCATAGTCCAACATGGACTTTCATTTTAACATGTCCACTCTGATTGCTGTGTTGAGAATAGCCTCTAGGATCAAGAGCAGAAATATCCAGAACAGTTAAAAAGTCATTGCTGAATCCAGGATGAGATACTGATTTGCAACAGGGTGATGACAATGGAAGTTAGATGATTCTGTATATATTTTAATGATTTGATGTCATCTACCAAGAGAAACTAGTTTAATACAAATACTGTGTTCCACTTGTTATTTTAAAAATAAGATTTTCATTTGCCTGAGAACGTTTCTTAAAGCTGTGTATGAATGATTTTTCCTAAAGAGAATTGTATCATGACACCTACTACAGATTGTTTTAGTTCCTTAATTTAGTTGCTCTGAATGTACGAGTGAATTTTTCATGGTATTTTAGTAAGAAATGCCAGACCCAAGTAATCTCGGAAGTTTATATGTAGAACTTTTTACAAAGCAGTATTTGAGCTTATGGCTTAAGGCCAGCTTAAATTTTTATGGATTTCTACCTTTCAGACAGCTTTTAAATCCTGGAATTAATGAAGGATTGATCTTCACTTGCTTCTCATATTGAAATGCTGGTAAAAGTCTACCAAGTAGTTTAAATGGTTCAGTTAGAGGATTGCCCAGAGAAGACATGGTCCGAGTCTAATGCTGAAACATTTGATCCAGAACTGTCAACTGTGTTCCCCACTCCCTTTTTAAGCCTGTGGGGAGAGTTAACAGTTTGTATATGGAGCTCTAGAGAACACTTACTTTTTTTGTAGTCTCTTGTATTTTTCCTTATTGAAGTGACTTTTTTTCTGAACAGTTTCTCATCTCACTTTTTTCTTTTTTCTTCTTTTGGAGACAAATAAGATGATAATTAACTTTGGTAAGACAAATTACAAACCAGAGAAGTAATGATTTAGTGTGGTAGCACAATACACATGAGAACAAAATATATTTTACTTAAGATTTTTGTGGATTCTTTATTTAAAATTCTACTCAATTACCAAACAAAGAATATGTTTGTCTACTCTGTGTGAAAGAGAAGTGATTTCTCAAAAATATATTCTATGTGTGAGGGATGAAACTCTTAAATCTCATTTTAAGAGTTTTGAACAGTAAGCTTCTATTTAGTAAGTATGTCTTTTTTGCTACACATATATCTGTAACCTGATCATTATGTTCATAATATATAGAGAAAGGCATGTGACACATGCAGTTGATTAGCCAAAAGAGCTCAGTCTAACTAGTAGATTTTAGATTCTATGGTGCAAAATATTTATTCTGTTCTTCCCATAAAATCTGGTTCTTAAAGCTGTGGATACTGGATTAGCAGCAGCAGCAGCAGCAGCATCCGCTGGGAACTTCTTGAAAATGTCTATTCCAGATTCAACTCCAGACCCACTAAATATGCAATTCTGGGGTTATTTTCTGGCTCCCTATTTTATCAAATCTTCCAGGTGATTCTAATGTGCACTTGAGCCTGAGAAAACTAACATTTTCAGGCCTTGTAGAATCAACCAAGATGGATGTATCCCTGAACTGCTTGCCTTTTCCAAGTTTTCTCACTTTCTTTTCCTAACCATCCTCTCCATTTCACAGTGTCCTGGCTCTATCTTATGGTCTAAGACCCTCAATCTCTGAGCCCCTGTAACTTCTTCTACTGGCCAAGCCTGGGGTTATACCTCAGTCTTGGTGGACTCAACAGTAGACTTTCATATTCTTCAATGAAGAGCACCTGTGGTCAACTTACTAATTTGGATCATTTTTCCTAGCGATGATATAAATGCTTTACTGTATAAAACAGTTTTCCTCTCAACACTGTCAAAGATGAAATCTTGACACTTAATGCTATAACAAGATGGCTGTATTGGGATAATTCTTACATGCCCCCTTTCCAGCATAATTTATATTACCATTCCCTGTTTACTTTTTGAAGTGTTCTAGTTCAGTTAAATTATATTATAGTGAATTTAAATTGTAAGCAATTCTAACACTTGGAAAGTAGTCAAAAAAAGGACTCACTGAGAAGGAAATGTTTCAGGGGAAAAAAATGAAAGATGTCCACTCAAAATAGCTTGGTAAGACAGGACTGGAGATTGGAGTGGAACCAAGTAGAGAAAATTTAGATGATTTTAAGATAAATAAGGATGTGAAGAGACAGGGTACATTAAGGGAAGTGGAAGAAGCTCATAGAATCTAGAACCTGTGTTTGGAGGGAAAATAATAGATGAAGCAGATAGAAAAGGAGTGATTTGAGATAAGATCTTCCTGGAGTAATAGCAAATTTTGAGATTTATTATTCCCCAGTAACATATCAATTTAGGTTCCTTGGATGGATACTTAAAAAAAAAAACAAAAAACCTGGCATTTGTTTCCTTAGATGTTGGCTGTAGGTATTTAAAATGCATATTGCTCTATTTTTCATTAATTGTGGACTATATTTTTAAAAACAATCATTGCATGACATGGCAGTATAATAATTTACTTTCAGCTTGGGCCCAGATTTTCAAATCCACTTATATAAAGCTACCACACAATGTATACTCCATAATATTTTATGCCTTTATCATAGCAGAACACTAGCCCTGCACTATTGAGATATATGGCCTGTTGAGAACAGAATAGGGAGAATTATGCAAATACCCAACTAATGTGTTGTGATATTGTTTTTCTGAATGTTAATATATTCAGTGAATTTTATTGTTATAAAGTGGTCATATGGGAATTTTTTGCCACTATTTACAACACTAAAAATTGTGTTTCATGCAGTTTGGGAACTTTGCAAGCTGTTTATAAAGTGCATGTAACACGGCAAACCTCACTTAAAGCAATGAAGCATTTTAAAATTATAATTAAAATTACAATTAATTTTATACAATTGCTTAATGTTATTTCTCTTTTGTGGTTGTTGAAGATTAAAGATGTGTCTGCAATTGACAAAGTTTGAAGGCTTTGCCCTTGTGCAAGACCTGACATCCTACACTTTTTTCTCACTCTTCTTTACCAGCTGAAGTTTAGAAATGCTTAAATATAAGCAGAGGCTGAGGTTTATTATAAATCTTAAAGCAGACATATCCCCCTGTATTATGTGTTAGATGACAATTTGTAATATTAATTAAACATTCTATAATAGGCTCTTTCAACAGCTGCTAGAGAGGATTTACCCCTTTAAATTTTTTTTCTGTTTTGTGTGTAGCTCAGGATTTGTGAATCATTTTTGTGACTATTTTAGTGTTGTCAAGGTCTTGAACAAGCAGGAAACCCAAAGTAGAAGAAATATTCATTAAACCACAACTCTACTAGCCCAGCAGTTGCTTGCATGGTTTCAGCAATCTCTGTTATCCCTTGATCTGGTTTTCATTTGAATATACATTTGAGATAATACTCAACATCATTGCTTTTGCTGTAAATAAAACCCTAGTTATAAAAATGCAGTCTGTCCTCTTGGTTTGCATTTCACAGCCTTAAAATTGGGCCCAACTTTTGTTTTCTTTAACTTTACAAGATGTCTTTTGGATTGCGTATAATTCTTGAGAGACTGTTTCAAAGAGTTTTGTGGTTCTAACCTTAAGGTGACCTGAAAGTAATCTCATGAATCTGAATTTAGGATTTACTGTTTATTAGTCAATCTGATTAAATTTCAAAAATTTAATGTTACTTAAATATGAGAAATAAATAATTCACTATGGATTCTTGTTTGTATATATCGAGAGAGAACACTTTTAAAGGACCACTAATTAAAATCAACTCAACTCATATATTTAATATCTATTACATTTTTAATTTTATTTGCTGCTTCAGTAGTCTGTAGAGGTGTTTGTTTTGCCTTTTAATGTGCAGATAGAAGTCCTGCTACTGTCTTGCAATTAAAGGAAAGACATATAAACTATAGCTTGATGATGAGTGTAGATAAATCTTAGTTTCATAGCATCTTTACCTTTGCTCTTTTATTTTTCTTTGTAACAGTTTTATTGTTTTGGTTGGGTTATTATTTTCCAAGTTGAAGTTTACTTGTTTTCAAACTTACAGGCCAATTTCTTCTGGAAGAAGCTCGCCTCATAGAAGCAGCTGAGATGGCAAAAAAAGCAGCTGAACTGGACAGCACGGAGTTTGATGTGGTCTTCAATGCTGCCCACATGCTGAGGTTAGTTTTTTCTGCTATACCTTGAAAGACCAATTCCTTGGCTTTTTGGAAAGCAATTAAATATACTAAGTCTCTAATCACACCATATCATTCTACCTTCTTAAAGTGAATTATTGTGCTTAATCATTCTCAAACAACTCAGGTCTATTTTAGTCATTGTAATTTAGATATGCAATATCTAGGGCATATGAGACTTCAAAATTCTCTGAAAATTATTGAGATACCCCCCTTCCCTTCATTTCAAAAGCTATTGGCTATAAAATACAAAAAGAAAATTGCAAAATTTAAATTAATAACTAATTAAAAGTCTCCAAACAGAACATTATGTTACTTAGTTAAATGCATCTCCTTATTTATGTTTTTATATTTATTAAATATGGTGTTTGTATGCACTTTAATTTTCTATAGTGGAGAGAACTATCAAATACAAATATACTTAACAATTTTTTTCTAAATGTCCTTGTGATTAGCACTACTGCTATTCATTGAAGCTATATTTTTAGACCATTACTACTTTAGTTTTCAGAAAGATATTTACAAAGGCAAATTACAATAATAGCAAAACAATTAAAAGCCATATCAACAGTTTTTGTTGTGAATATAAAGATTGTCACTGAATCCATAAATGGTATTATAGACTAAAGAAGGATCTTTAAAAAAAATGATTTTTATCATAGTTTAAAATGCATTATTTGTTCTATTATCAATATCTATATTCCTTTTTCCATACTCCTTTGAATTTCATTATATTAAATGTCCATCTAACTACTTTATCAGGAGAACAGGCACATACCAGACTCCTTTCTGGTTTCTAGTGAGAGGTGTGTAATTATGTATGTTGCTTTTACAACAGAAGAAAATTAACAGGGGAATTGGTTTACATAGTAAAGCATGAACTTTTGAAAAAAATAGAGAAATTATAGTTTTAAACTCTTTTGAGATCATTGTAGACTCACATACAATTTTAAAAAAAATAACACGAGGATTCCCTGTACCATTTCCCCTGCTTCCCCAATGGTAATATCTTATAGAACTACACTAGGATACTGATACTGGTACAATCTACTGATCATATTAAGTTTTCCCAGTTTTATTTGTCTTTCTGTGTATGTGTGTATGTGTGTGTATATTTGGTTTTATACAGTTTTATCATACATTTAGGTTTGTGTATCCATAGTTTAAATGCATTGTTTTCAACCACCCCAAACTTCCTTCATTTTGTCTTTTTATAGCCACATAACCCCACTTGCCCTTGTGCCTCAGGAACAAATATTCTTATTTTTAAAAGATTTATTTTTATTTATTTATCCATACAAGAACTGGGGTATAGGCCAGAGGTGTGGGGGGTGAGAAAATTCACCAGAGACAAGAGAAAGGAGCAGAACAGATGGATCTACTGAGATACACTGCTGAGGAGAGCTGCAGGTGAGACAGGAGAGGTCTGCTGCGCCATATGTGGGTTAGCTTCCAGGCTGGGAATCGAACTCATGCCACAGTGGCTGGCTAATTTGATAGTGCTGAGAAGTTAACCCCTGTACCACCAGGGAGTCCCAGGAACTATTTAAAGAAAGTTTTGTAGGTTACTTGGGACTTACAATTTGAGACAGTTGTTATAATAACTGTATCTTAGTAACTTCCTACTGGACTTTTAAAAAGTTCTTATTTAAAACGTGTTTGAGAGCAATACTGTAGAAATAATCTGTAGCCAATATGCAAGAACACTGAAGGTAAGGATAATTTTTAAGGACACCTTAACTTGTATGATCATGTTGGGTGCCTTATAGGGGGAGGACTATGTTTTTCAGGAATAATACACTATGCTTTTAGGCATAGTGAACCATTTGCAAACATGGGAATGCACAAGTTTGTACAGACTAATCCGTGTTAATCATAATAGATACTTACCCACAGGTCATTGTGGTACATGTTAAATCAGTATCAGAAATTCAAGGTCTACCAGTGGAAACCCAGTACAAGAATAGTACAAAGCTGTCCTTGTTAAATTTATTGTAACTTTTTCTTAGTTACCATAGTACTAGAAACCAGTGGAAAGTTTTTGTTATACATTGGTGATGTGGAAATCTTAAGGATTTATTTTTCAGTACTCTCTCTGGCTTTCTATGGTCTGCATTCCTCATTAAGTGGCAGTCAGTCAGCGCTTTCCTACATTGTTTGCAAGTATGACCACAGCAGTCTCGCCATATCCTCAACTCGGTGGCAGTCCCCAAGAATGTTTTTACTTCATTTTTCTGTTTTTTGGCTCTGTCATATTTAAGTATCTCTTAAGTGCTTACTGTGCAAGCTGAATACCAACTCCTTTCCTTATTAATCAAGAACATTTAGGACTTTGCTGAAAGGAATAAAAAAGGTTTTTGGTTTTCCCTTGAATTCAGTCTTAACAAAATAGTTACCTATCAAGGTTTTGCTTATTTAAAGTTACATATAACATTTCCCTTGAGGTAGCCAAATTGTTACAAATTGATTTTGATATTAATTCTTCCGTCAAGAGCTCTGTTCTTTAGTTAAATATTTTAGAGAGCAATTGGCAAGGTTTGGTGACCAGGTGGGTGCCTTCCTGGTTGTAGCTTGGTTAGCTAGATTAATGGTTAATCTAATATCTCAAATCATAATTTAGGAAAATGTTATAGTTCAAGATATGGTTTGAACACACTTATTTAACTTCCTTTTTCTTGGCTTATTCTCAATGATATAACCCAAAGAATGTATTGAGGAAGAAATTGCTCTTTTCAACTGAGAGAGAGAGATTGAGAGAGATTCCATCTAGGTCACTTAATTGGAAGAGGTAAAGAGGTGAAGACTTTGGGCCAGTCATCACGGGGTAAATCTTTATCTTTTGGGGACCTTTCTGAGGACTGAAATTTGAGAAATTTCTAACAAACCAACTTCAACTCTCAATAATGGATGAAAATCTTTTTCTGTAGAATAAGCAAATAGAGAATTCTGAAATACATGATTTCACTTTGGCAGTTCAGTTAAGAATGACAAACCAAGTAAAGGAACCTCATCTGGCAGAGATATTTACATTAAAATGTAAATCTTGAGAGCTCTGCTCTACGCAGTCAGAAATAATACTCAACCACTTAGCTTTCCTTGGCGTTCAGCAGCTTTTACCAGGATCTCCTATCACCACCCTTGGGATCCAAGCAGAGCAAGGACACATTTATTGGAGCAGTTTTCTCCTGGGCACAGCTGCCTGCCATTATGCTTACTTTGATTCTCTTCAGTTTGTATCTTATTGGTGGAACCTGAGTCACCTCCTGAAACCTTAGCTCAAAGAAAGTAAAGGACAAAAAAATGAGGATATTTCTGACTTCTGCCTCATTTGGGAAGGTGGGGGGGGGGGTCACATGGTGGCTAATTAGCCAGTATGTTTATAGGGAGGATGATTAGGGATGTTGAGTGACCTCATGTAATGAATATTGACTGTAAGTGTTCACCTTTTTTAGTACTTAAAATAAAATGGAAAAAGTACTGGATGCTTCCAGATAAGAGCATTAAAAAAAAGAAGATTGCTTATCATCAAAGGAAAATATCAAAGGAACTTAAAACACTAGAACTCAGTAGTTATGTCTATAGAGTTGTGAGAGGAAAGCATTCAATTATTTTATTAGAAGCGCTTTGTATCAACGGATTTATTTAATGTCCTCCCAGAACTGGAAGCTAGAAAGAGCATGAAGATATTTGATACCTGACAGGAGGTCTAGTGCACAAGCGTGTGTGTGTGTGTGTGTGTGTGTGTGTGTCTTTGTCTTTTTTAAAAAGATTTATTTATTTATACTAGCACTGGGTACAATCAGAAGCGCAGGAGGGTGAGAGAATTCACCAGAGCCAGAAACAGAACAGGCAGACTGATGAAATACACTGCTGAGGGGAGCAGCAGGCGCAGCAGGAGAGGTCTGCGTGCCATGTGGGACCCTCGCTGGTGGCCGGGGATTGAACCGGCACTGCAGAGGCTGTGGGCAGCTTCATAGCCCAGCGCTCAACCTCTGCGCCACCGGGGAGGCCTGTGTGTCTTTGTCTTTTAATGCACTTATAGGATAGAGGAGGAACAAGCAAAAGTATTCATATATCTTCTGTCTGCCTGCTACTGTATTTTGCATTTTATTTCTGTCATCATGTTATTTGTAAGTATACATAATATGAAGTAGATAGTTCCAGTGCTTGTAGTTTTAAGAGAGCAGAGTGAATGAATGTATGAGAAAGAATTATTTTTTAAATTCCATAATAAGCATAATATTAATCATTAAATATTTTGAAAGTATAGAATTTAGATACTTAATTTCTTTATACCTTTACCAGAAGTGACATAAAATTGACTTTTTCAAGAGAGAAAGGAAAAACATTAGATTATTTTCTCAAAGCAGATCGAAGGAGCGTGTGAATGTCGGTATCGTGTGTGTGTGTGTGTGTGTGTGTGTGAGAGAGAGAGAGTGTGTGTGACCATGACCAAATACTGCCCTCTTTTTTTTTTTTAGATTTATTTATTTATTTATACAATCACTGTGTATAGTCAGAAGTGCGAGAGGGTGAAAGAATTCACCAGAGCCAGAGCGGGGAGTAGAACAGGCAGACTGACGAAGTACACTGCTGAGGGGAGCAGCGGGCGGCAGGAGAGGTCTGAGCGCCATGTGGGACCCTCACCTGGTGGCCAGGGATTGAACCGGCGCTGCAGAGGCTGCGGGCAGCTTCACAACCCAGCGCTCAACCGCTGCGCCAACAGGAAGGCCCCACTGCCCTCTTTAACATCTTCAAATTACCAAAGACCACTCAAAATGCCATTCAGTTTTCTAAGTGCTATTTGTATTTGACTGCCAACTTTTGGTCAAGTAGATTGTAATGGCTGAGAGGTGTTTTAAAAAGAGAAGTGGTAGATAAGGTTAAAGGGAAACATCTTCCAACCTCAGTGTGAGTGTGAATCACTTGGGGATCTTGTTAAAACCAGTATTTTTAGTAAAATTAATATGTTTGGATAGTGCCTG